CCCCCAAACCCTTCCCAAACAAAAAAACAAACAACCAAAACCCCATGAATATCTATTGAGTTAACTGGTGGTAGGAATTAGTTCACACCACTGCTGCTATTCAGCTAGGAACTTGTTAATGTTTAGAACAAGGCAGTGGTGATGGGTTCTGCTATAAACCTTGTGAAGGATATTAGAAAATGAGCTAGAAAATTCCTGGACTCAAATCGAATCATCTTTAGAAAGACCCTAAAATTATAAATCCCATGTGTTCACTGGCTGTTCTCCTTGTTGTTGTTATCTGTCGTATTATTAACTTATGAAAAAAAAGAATAGACCTATGCCTGTCTTGGACGAGTGCCTTAAATTAGATGTGGTTCTGCTTTTCAATCTGAGATTCTCTAATTCCTTCTCCTCTGGGGCAACAACATGAAAACAGGATTTTCAGGATCCTACCCGTGGTTGTTTAGGGAGGATTGTTGCATGTCTCTTTTGACGGTTGTATTTTGGGTTCTGAGAGGATGTTGTCACCTTCAACCACACACTAGAGGGGGAAAAAATAGTTATGATATTTGTGCTCGAGTCTTGGGCAGCTGATGTTTGAAGGCTTACAAGTTGTCCAGACTACGTTACCTGCTGCTTTGCTATAAACTGACTCCGGCCCCCTCTCCATGTTACATGTATCACACAGTTACTGGGTTACTTGTGCAATTCATTTAGACTGGCTACGCATGCAAATTAACTCTCTCTCCACAAAAAGGTGCAACCAGCTATAAAGTTATTGTTGGAAAATGTGTAATGACTTCATAGCTGGTTGCTATCCAGCTTTAATTTGCACATGTAGCAGGGTCTGTCCTTATAGTTGGGACTCCCAGTCTCAGGGATGCACCATGCACAGCCGGACCAGGGAGTTCTGCACCTGCATCAGTCCTCCTGTAGCTGTGGACGCTGGGTCTTGGCAGCGCCACCGGAGGGCACTCTGGGTAGTGTGCTGGGGCCCAGAGTTCACAACTGCAGCACTCTGAGTCCTGGCGGCTGGGAGGCGGTGCCACAGCTGCAAGTCCCATTACCTACAGGACTTCCAACTGTAGTAGCTTGTTACTTGCTGGTGCAGAAGAAGCCTGGGATGGCAATAAGGCATGACAGGATCTGATGCTGGATCCAGCGGTTGTGCTTCCTGCCATGCATCATCATCAGCAATCCCTTACAGTCGAGGATGATCATCTTCCATGATAGTCTTAACCAGAGCGGGCAATTATTTTGGCTGGAGGGCCACTTCATGAATTTTGGTGAGCCATCAAGGGCCAAATGGGTAGCCCTGCCCCTTGACAGTTGCCCTGCCCCCTGTTTGCCATCTTGTGGCCAGAAGTCCCTCCCTTTGCCCCTGGAAATGCTCTTTTTGGGAGGGGGTAGTATGATCTTGGAACTGGAAGTTACACTCAGTCACATGGTCTGTGTCAGGGGTAGGCGATGTTTTCTGGCCGGAGTGCTGAAAAACCCACAATGTCTACCTTGTAGGGTGCTGGAGTGCCGGCATGCCAAAAAAACAAAACTGGGCCGGGGGGTACATGGCAAGACGCACTGCATATTAATATAGGTAATAATCATAAAAGTTTCTTTTTTGTGGTAAATACCAGGTTTTATAAAAATTCTAAACCTGGTGACAATAAATAAAACTTCATAGAGGGCGGAGGAGGAAGGGG